CTACGCGCCTCTTACCCGGCCCATATTAATTTATTCTTCGTGATTCCAACTATGATGTCTTTAACCCCCGTTTGTTCCCTGACCCACTATCTTCTCTTCCTGTCTCCTAAAGTATCACATGTATAATTTTTTTGCCTATCCTCGCTGTGTCATCCTCAAATGAAGTTGTGCCCTGTTTGTAAACTTCCAGGTTTCTGCTTCAGGTTGAACCTTCAGGGTGGGCTAAAACTCGCTCTTTCGAGAAAAAAAAACATTGTCCTTATGGCAAAATTTCCTCAAGCTGATAAGCATTTCTTTTTTAACGCCGGTTGTACTTGTAAATCAAGTATGCCTTGTTTTTGTTTTTTAAGAAATATTCTTCGAAGCATATGTAACAAATCTACTATCGGTACAATTCATTTCATACAATACTTCGTGAATTTCAAAACAAGACGTTGCTTATCTTTTTCTGAATGACCACAAGATCTCCGAATCAATTTTTGTCGTGCGTAGAAAGAATCACATGGACGTTGTGCCAAGCCGCAAGCGGTGCCCGAATGGTTCATCCTTTGTTTTGGCCCATGCGGGATAAGATTCACATCCATAGGTCATTTTAATCTCCACTAACACAGTGTTAAATGAACTATTGTTTCTCTTCCTGATACGACAAGGTGTCTCACTCGGCACAGCAACGCCAAATAATCTCACGCACGCGCACTGGAGGCTTCGTTTTCTAAATGGATTCCCTAAGATCTCCTCTAAGCAGCGCAACCGATCTCTTCGCAGACCCCTCTTTTGGGAGAAATAAAGCTTTCATTATCATATAAGACACCAAAAAATTAACAATTTCTACTGCGGGCAAAATGAAATATCCTTTTCTCTACTTGTGCGTCCGTTTCGCACCTCCTTTTGTTCAAGTGCTACGAAAAATATTGCAGTAACCGGGTGTTTATTTAAATGCGTTTTAGTTGTCCAATGCACTCGCTTTGTGGTTTGTGTGAGCGTCTCCTACAATAACAGATACGTAGTGTACATAATTTTTCTCTGTGCTTTGTAGCGTTCGTAGAGTGCCTTGCGTATCAATAAAAATGAGCACTTTTCATTTATTCCAGGAGGCATTGGCGTAAATCATGGATGGTAAGGGGCTGCGTACACCCCTTGGATTCAGGCTGAATGGGGGAGACATCTCTTGCAAGAGTCCTCCTTGAAATGTAGCTCTGGCAGATTATATAAATGAGTTAGTTGACAGTTAAGTATAGAGCATCAGATTTTTTTCGAAAGGCTGATTATTTTCAGTGTGTACTTGTGTTATAACCTTCAGCTGTGTGGGGCTATAGAAATTGCGTAAGCCGCTCGATCGGTTCAAACATGACTTATTGGAGTTGTGCAATACTCGAGCTCGGAGAATATGCTCACTTTCTGAATTTTGTCTCAAAGCAGGTTTTAGTTCTTACGTAAGGTAAAATGAAATCCATATTTAAAGATATGGCCGTCATGGTTTGATCCTGGTCCCCCCTGTGAATTTTCCAGACTAAAGGCACTGCTTGAGGATGGTATTAAGATAGCATAATAAGTGGCACTTGTGTGTTTGAAAAAAAATGGCAGATTCCACGTACAGTGAGAATCGATGATATGTGAAGCACGAAGGAGGAATGTTGATTTTACACTTTAAATTCAGCACAACGTTACGAGGTGGAGGTAAATGATGCCGTACATGACTTCAGTGTCATGCTTATTGTGTTTGGATGTGTCGTTCACCTTCGTCATCTATTCACGTCACGTGATACCAAATTTAGTATATGCAGAGCTAGCGAAACGGCCGCGTGCACGCTATCAACGTGGTGTGTTGTCATGCTCTCACACGACACGCGTGTCAGGATTATCATGTTTGCACCAATCATATGTTTCGTCATCCATCGATGTCACGTACGGAACACCAAATCTGGTATATGCGGAGCTAGCAAAACGGCCGCGAGCGCATCATGATGGGCCCAATATACTCCAGTGAAGCGTTGACACGCGCGCACACTGGGCACAGCGACGCCATGTTAACAAAACGCGAGCACTCTATAGTCTGACGCCAGGCGTGACCAGCGTCCATCGGCGTGGCCCGACGGCAACCGGCGCGAAATGCGACATGCTGCATTTCTAGCCGATGCGTTACCGAGACAACACTGCGTCTCTCTCTTTTCGTTACGGAGGGATGCCGGACGTGATGAAACGCACACGCGTCTAAGCAACGCAGCGCAGCGCGCGCCTGCGAGTATATGACTGGACCGGCGCGTGGCAATGCCGGCGTGATGCGACGGAATGAACGCCGGCGAGCACGCGCACCGCGTCACGTCGAAATGTATTGGCGCTTTGACTGTGGCATGTAGTCATGTTCTCGCATGACACGCATCTCATGATTATCATGTTTGCACCAGTAACATACATTCGTCATCCACTGGCGCCACGTAGTACCAAATTTGGCATATGGGAAACTAGCGAAACGGCCGTGAGCGCATCATCTGTGTAGCATGTAGTAATCTTGTTACATGACACGCATGTCGTGATTATCATGTTTGGATGTGTCATTTACATATGCCGTCCGTTCACGTCATGTAATACCGAGCTTGGTACATGTTAAGCTAGCGAAATGGCCGCGAGCGCATCATGAGCATAGCATGTAGTCATGTTGTTACTTGAAACGCATCTCATGTTTATTATCTATCATGTTTGCCCCTGTATCATACCTTCGTCATCCATTCACGTTTCGTAATACCAAATTTGGTAAAAGTGAAGCTAGTGAAACGGCCGCCAGGGCATCATGAGCATGACATATTATCATGTTGTTACATGACATGAATCTCATGATTATCATGTTTGCACCAGTCACATACCTTTGTCATCCATTCACCTACTTTAATACTCAATTCGGTATATGTGACGCTAGCGAAACGGCCGCGAGCACATAATGAGTGTGGCATGTAGTCATATTGTCACATGACGCACATGTCATGATTTTCAGGTTAGGGTCTGTCGCTTTTGTTTGCCATGCAATTATGCGATACCATATCAGTTTTGCAACTTGACATGTGAACAAAACCACCGCAAGAGCTGCGGGACCATGAAATGTAAATCATGACGTTCATGACCTAAATATTCTGATTTTCATAATATGACTAATCAAATATGTTCTTCATACAGTCATGTTACGCCATACCAAGTTTGGTATCGATACCATTTTGGAAACGGTCAGGAGAGCTTAAAGTCGTTGGCAGCTAAATAGATAGATCGATCGATCGATCGATAGATAGATAGAGAGATAGATCGATAGACAAATAGATAGCGAGATAGATAGATAGATAGATAGATAGATAGATAGATAGATAGATAGATAGATACGCTGAAAGCCTGCGAAGTTCGCTAAAAATGCTTTACATTTAAAAAGTGGGTAATGATTTTCATCACTGGGTAGTGTATACCATGAGAGAGCTAAAAACCGTCCTGGGAGCCTTTAATACACAGACACGCGTGAATGAACTGAAATGGCGTCTGTGTATAGCAAAAGTGGTTAAAGATTTAGAGTACTTAGTACTCTACTATGGGAGAGCATAGAGCCATCCTGTGGGCACAGTCCTGGTTGGACAACCTACCGAGAACCACCAAGAATCGCCAACAGCCTTGCCTCAGAGGGACATGTTTTTCGTCACAATTTTCGAAATTGATAAAATATACTGTGGGCCCAGTTTCTATACCCAGAATATGAATTTCAAAGCTATCTTCGCCAAGAATTTTGTGTTCCCTTAAATAAAAGTGAAAGTTTCGGCCACAGAGACAATTTTTCGTCATTTTCGCCATGCCTGAACTTTAAGTACACCTATCGAAAGAATGGCGAAAGTGTGAATTACAATATTTATTCCCCTGAAAGAACATGCGTGATTAGTTTTTACGAGTTTTTTTTTATTTTTCTCTGCGGTCGAAGGCCTTTCGAGAGAAAAAAATGCTATATGGTAAAGGAAAGAAATTGCGTCTATTTGCGAAATTTATTTTTGCATGCAATTTAAAATAACCGTAATAAAGCTCGTCACATATTTTATTTTGCATGTGCATTTTCTTTGCAAAAAAAAAAACAAAGCGTCCATTCATTCGCATAAAAACGATTGTCCCAAATTATTCGGTAAGAAAACGACGCTTACCGAAAACGCCATAGTTTGAAGACAGCTTTTTGAAAAAGGCGATTTCAAACTTTTTTTTTACATCTCTCCGATTGAAATAAAAAACAGCACGTTCTCTGCAATTGTGTGTAACAAAAAAACGAAAATCGCATTGTCTCACTGGCTAACAAGTTAAAATGCGACAGAGATGAATGAATAAGCCTATAGATAGTGGCCGCGCCATTCATTATGTGTTTCACATCAGATACAGTACATTGGTATAATTTTACGCGACATAATCAGGAAGCAGGCGTTATTAAAGAACAAATACTCAGCCCTGTTTCATGGTGCGGCCGGCTTTGTCTTGTGGTCAGCCGCTTGGAATACTTAAGTAGACAACCTGTGGCGACGGCCGCTCGGGGCTGCGTGCTCTCATTTACTAGTGCCGCTTCGATGGCGTGTGAACTCTCCTTGCGCGCAATAAAGATGATCGGGGGGAGAATAAGTTAAAGGAGGTATCACTGCAAACATTTCAAACGACAAAATTGTGCAATGCAACCACCAACCGTAATTTTGTAGGGAGTGCCTCAGCCAGAGCTTGTAGAATATCATTGAATAGTGCTTTCACTTCTGGCAACGTTTGGGAAATGGCTGTTGTCTTCATCGAGGCAATTGCTGGATAGAAGACAAGACGAAATGTTGACACCACGCGACAACAGCTTTTCCGGTATTTCATATTTTTAGATAGGGTTCTGACGGACGGCATTCTGCGCCATTTGCTCAGTGCTTCCAAGTGCATAGCGAGCGAGCATAGTGCCTTAAACTCACGTACCGTACAATGAACCCTTAGAAATAATGAAGTATTTGTTAAAGTGGCAGACCTTTTCACTGTACAATTTATTTCTATACACAAGAGGACACATTTCAGCCGTGGTAGCCATGACCATGTCCGTGGCTAATAACTTTGTATCCGTATCCGTGGCCGTAACCGCCATGACCGTAGCCACCATGACCGTAGCCACCGTGACCGTGTCCGTAGCTAATAACTTTGTACCCGTATCCGTGGCCGTAACCGCCGTGACCGTAGCCACCGTGACCGTGTCCGTAGCTAATAACTTTGTGTCCGTAACCGTGGCCGTAACCGCCATGACCGTAGCCGCCGTGACCGTATCCTCCATAACCTCCGTAGCTGCCATATCCACCATAGCCTCCGTAGTAACCGTGGCCGTGTCTACCGTATCCTCCGTAAGCACCGTATCCGCCGTAGCCGTGGCCGTAGCCGCCGTAACCACCGTAGCCACCATAAATGCCATAGCCGCTGTAGCCTCCATAGCCTCCGTAGTATCCGGCCATAGCGGTCGCAACCATGATGCAGAGGGTCAGCAAGGACAGCTAAAAAAAGATAAAATATGTTCACTTGACCCGACAAGTGTTTATGCGCATTGTATCAACACTGACATACTACGTTGTTGGCCAACTCCTGTACCGATACCTGAACGTTTTTTCTCCGATTCAAAATAGAGAATCTACTGAAATGTGACTTATATAACAGCACAGAATAAAACCATAAAATTCATATTGAGGGTACATGTACTGTTTGGTAGTAGTCATGGACTACGCGCGCATTTATCCCAGGCTAACTTCCTTAGATATATTGTTTATCATTGCGTGGAAACACGAGATTGAGCACTAGAACCGGCAAATGAGCTGGCGTTCCAGGAACCATGCAGACACAACAAGAAAAAAATAGAGGTGGTGGTTGGGCTGGCAATGCAGGATTCTAGACGGTCGTATATCTGCACTGACTGTCGATCAGCTGCAGGGCCTTGACCTCAGGAATGGTTTCTAGAGAGGCGGCAGGGCTGCTGAAAAGCAAGAAAAGCACTAGTACTAATTCTGCTCACATGGGCGACGACGTGCTGTCGGGTCACCAGGACTGCAATGAGGTGGCTCACCGCCATGCGCAGGGTACTCACGCACCGCGATGGCGGAGGGGCTTCATTGGATTCAGAGAAGGTGGAGTACAGATATCCCTTATTATCATCCTTCTGCGAGATCGTCTCGTACTATAGAAAGCAACCCAGGCGCTTCCCGTCTCTATGCTCATAACTATACAAATCTCAAGCAATCACCCTTATATGTGCTTCAGACGAGGTAATATCCCTCAAGAGGTTTGCTAAGCCGGATCAGCAGCGATATTGACCTACAGTGCCCGGATTACGGGGAAAGCTTTAGCGCTCTAGCGCACAAGCTCTCACATTGTCCTGCTTTACGGGGCATGTTACACAGTAGCGAACAGAAGTGGGAAGAAGCCATCAAAATCCCTGTACTGAGAATGCAATCAATGGCTGTCCAGTGGCCCTTGGAAGAGTAGATAGGCATGACCTCCGGATTCAAACAGGGGAGCAGTCAGCGGTGAGCCGAGGGCCCCAGCGGGTCCTTCCTGGCTAGCTCCTCAGGACCTCAGTGAATTTCTCTGTCTGTCTGTTTGTCTGTGTGTCTGTCTGTCTGTCTGTCTGCATGATGTATGTATGTATGTATGTATGTATGTATGTATGTATGTATGTATGTATGTATGTATGTATGTATGTATGTATGTATGTATGTATGTATGTATGTATGTATGTATGTATGTATGTATGTATGTATGTATGTATGTATGTATGTATGTATGTATGTATGTATGTATGTATGTATGTATGTATGTATGTATGTATGTATGTTTCGATCGCTGTGTCGATGTCTGTTTAGATCGCGGCTATGCAGGTCATTCGGCGAAATGATGTGCGACTTTAGGTATTGCACTTTCCTGATCTGTACTTTTGAAGAAATAAGGTTCATGATAAAAGGCGGTGGGCGTGCGAACACAGGCACTTAGAGCAGTCAAGATAATGCAAGTGCCCATGCGTTGTCCCGAATTTTTCTCTGGTGTGTGCTTGTTTGGACTCCAAGCGTATTTTATCCCGAATGCCCTCCCCACCCCCCAGTCTTTTCTCATTCAAAACAAGATTTCTCATTCAAAACAAACTCAGTCTTTTCTCATTCAAAACAAGATTTGGTTTCTTCGAGCATTGCAATATTGCACTGTGAAACTGTGCAAAGCGCAGGAAAAAAGAAACAATGCATTGGATGAAATTCGTAATGAGATCAACATAGAAGTACGATAATATTTCGCTTTGGTCATGTCTTATGCTTAGGGGCATCTTCTGAATAGTCTAGTCTAAACATTTGTTATCTGACTTTACATGACTGATCCCTGCTTTCTTGAAACTCTTTGCGTTCCTAAGCTTCTTCGTTCCACAAATGTAAATTTTAGAATTGTACATGAGTGTAGTGATGACTATGAGCAACAAAGTTATTAAATGCGATGCATTTCTTAGCAAACTTCGGGGACGTTGAGCGTATCTATCTATCTATCTATCTATCTATCTATCTATCTATCTATCTATCTATCTATCTATCTATCTATCTATCTATCTATCTATCTATCTATCTATCTATCTATCTATCTATCTATCTATCTATCTATCTATCTATCTATCTATCTATCTATCTATCTATCTATCTATCTATCTATCTATCTATCTATCTATCTATCTATCTATCTATCTATCTATCTATCTATCTATCTATCTATCTATCTATCTATCTATCTATCTATCTATCTATCTATCTATCTATCTATCTATCTATCTGTCTGTCTGTCTGTCTGTCTGTCTGTCTGTCTGTCTGTCTGTCTCTCTATCTATCTATCTATCTATCTATCTATCTATCTATCTATCTATCTATCTATCTATCTATCTATCTATCTATCTATCTATCTATCTATCTATCTATCTATCTATCTATCTATCTATCTATCTATCTATCTATCTATCTATCTATCTATCTATCTATCTATCTATCTATCTATGTAACCACCTACGCCTTTTAGCTCTCCTGGCCGTTTCGATAACGCTATCGATAACAAAATTAGTATGGCCTAACATGGCTGTATGAAGAACATATTTGATTAGTCATATTATGAAAATCATGATATTTAGGTCATGAACGTCATGATTCACATTTCATGGTCCCGCAGCTCTTGTGGTGGTTTCGTTCACATGTCAAGTTGCAAAACTGATATGGTATCGCATAATTGCATGGCGAACAAAAGCGACAGACCTTAACCTGAAAATCATGACATGTGCGTCATGTAACAATATGACTACATGCCACACTCATTATGTGTTCGCGGCCGTTTTGCTAGCGTCACATATACCAAACTCGGTATTAAAGTACGTGAATAGATGACGAATGTATGTGACTAGTTTAAACATGATAATCATGTGATACGTGTCATGTAACAACATGACTCATGATGGGCTTGATTGATTGATTCATTGATATGTGGGGTTTAACGTCCCAAAACCACCAATGATTATGAGAGACGCCGTAGTGGAGGGCTCCGGAAATTTCGACCACCTGTGGTTCTTTAACGTGCACCCAAATCTGAGTAGACTCATGATGGGCTCATGGTGGGCTGGCGCCCGTTTCGCTAACTTCACATCTACCAAACTCGGTATTACGCGACGCGAACGGACGACATAGGTAAATGACACATTCAAAAATGATAATCACGGCATGCGTGTCATGTAGCAACATAACTACATGGCACAGTGATTATGCGCTCGCGGCCGTTTCGCGAGCTTCACATGTGCCAAATTTAGTATTACGTGACGCCAATAGATGATGGAGGTATGTGATTGGTGCAAACATGATAATCATGAGATGAGTGTCATGTGAGAACATGTATACGTGCCACAGTCAAGGCGCCAATACATTTCGACGTCACGCGGTGCGCGTGCTCGGCGGCGTTCATTTTGTCGCGTCACGCTGGCGTTACCACTCCAGGCGCCGGTCTTGCCATATACTCGCAGGCGCGCGCCGCGCTGCGTTGCTTTGACGTATGCGCGTTTCAGCGCGTCCAGTGTCCCTCTGCCACGAAAAAAGGGAGATGCACGTTATCTGGGTAACGCATCGGGGCGAAATGCACCATGCCGCATTTCGTGCCGATTGCCGTCGGGCATCGCAGACGGGCGCTTGTCGCTCCTGGTGTCAGATTATAGGGTGCTCGCGCTTTGCTAACATGGAAGCAAGCATTCTACCCCTCAACCACTTCGGTGGAACATGGCGTCACTGTGGCCAGTGTGCGCGCGCGTCAACGCTACATTGGAGTATACTGGGCCCTTCATGACCTGCTTGCGGCCGTTTCGCTAGCTCCACATATACCATATTTGTTGTTGCGTGACGTCAATGAATGATGAAATATATGACTGGTGCAAACATGATAATCCTGACAGGCGTGTCATGTAAGAACATGGCAACAGACCACGCTCATTGCGTGCTCGCGGCTGTTTCGCTTGCTCCATCATCATCAGCCTGACTACGTCCACTGCAGGACAAAGGCCTCTCCCATGTTCCGTCAGTTAACCCGGTCCTGTGCTTGCTGCTGCGAATTTATACCCGCAAACTTCTTAATCTCATCTGCCCACCTAATCTTCTTTCTCCCCCTAACCCGCTTCCCTTCTCTGGGAATCCAGTTAGTTACCGTTAATGACCATCGGTTATCCTGTCTACGCGCTACATGCCTGGCCCATGTCCCTTTCCTCTTCTTTATTTCAAATATGATATCCTTAACCCCCGTTCGTCCCCTAATCTTTTCTGCTCTCTTCTTGTCTCTTAAGGTTACACCTACCATTTTTCTTTCTATTGCTCGCTGCGTCGTCCTCAATTTAAGCTGAACCCTCTTTGTAAGTCTCCAGGTTTCTGCTCCGTAGCTAAGTACCGGCAAGATACAGCTGATATACACCTTCCTCTTGAGAGATAGTGGCGATCTACCTGTCATAAATTGAGAGTGCTTGCCGAATGTGCTCCACCCCATTCTTATTCTTCCAGTTACTTCAATCTCGTGGTTCGGCTCTGCGGTTATTACCTGCCCTAAGTAGACATAGTCTTTTACAACTTGAAGTGCACTATTACCTATCTCGAAGCGCTGCTCCTTTCCGAGGTTGTTGTACATTACTTTGGTTTTCTGCAGATTAATTTTAAGACCCACTTTTCTACTCTCCTTGTCTAACTCCGTAATCATGAGTTGCAATTCGTCCCCTGAGTTACTCAGCAATGCAATGTCATCGGCGAAGCGCAGGTTACTGAGGTACTCTCTATTAACTCTTATCCCTAACTGTTCCCATTCTAGGCTTCTGAAAACCTCCTGTAAGCACGCGGTAAATAGCATTGGGGAGATTGTGTCCCCCTGCCTTACACCCTTCTTGATTGGTATTCTGTTGCTTTCTTTATGAAGCACTATGGTAGCAGTTGATCCCCTGTAGATTTCTTCCAGAATGTTTATATATACTTCATCTACGCCCTGATTCCGCAGTGTCTGCATGACGGCTGATATTTCTACTGAATCAAACGCCTTCTCGTAATCTATGAAGCCTATGTAGAGTGGTTGGTTATACTCTGAGCATTTCTCTATTACCTGATTGATAGTGTTAATGTGGTCAATTGTTGATTAGCCTGTTCTAAATCCTGCTTGTTCCTTCGGTTGATTGAATTCTAATGTTTTCTTTACTCTGTTAGCAATTACCTTTGTAAATAGCTTGTATACTACAAAGAGCAAGCTGATCGGCCTGTAATTCTTCAAGTCCTTGTCATCTCCTTTCTTATGTATTAAGATGATGTTGGCGTTCTTCCAAGACTCTGGTACTGTTCCCGTCAGGAGACACCTCGTAAACAGGGTGGCTAGTTTTTCTAACACAATCTGTCCTCCATCTTTCAGCAGATCTGATGTTACCTGATCCTCACCAGCAGCTTTGCCTCTTTGCATGCTCTCCAAAGCATTTCTGACTTCTTCTATCATTACTGGTGGTGTGTCATCTGGGTTACTGCTAGTTCTTATAGTATTAAGGTCGTGGTTGTCTCGGCTACTGTACAGATCTCTGTAAAACTCTTCCGCTATTTTAACTATCCTATCTATATTGGTAGTTACTTTGCCTTCTTTGTCCCTTAGTGAATACATCCGACTTTAGCCTATCCCAAGTTTCCTCTTCACTGCTTTGACGCTTCCTTCGTTTTTCAGAGCGTGTTCAATTCTCTCCATGTTATACCTTCTTACATCGCATACCTTACGTCTAATAATCAACTTCGAAAGCTCTGCCAGTTCTATTTTGTCTGTTGTACTTAACACTTTCATGATTTGACGCTTCTTAATTAGGTTCTTTGTTTCCTGGGAAAGCTTGCCAGTGTCCTGTCTAACTACCCTGCCTCCAACTCCCACTGCACACTCCGTAATGATACTCGTCAGATTATCATTCATTGTATCTACGCTAAAGTTGGTTTCCTCACTAAGAGCCGAGTACCTGTTCTGCAGCGACACTCTGAATTCCTGTACTTTCCCTCTCAGTGCTAGCTCATTGATTGGCTTCTTGCGTATCAGTTTCTGTTGTTCCTTCTTCAAGCCTAGGCGAATTCGAGACCGTACCATTCTATGGTCACTGCATCGTACCTTGCCAACCATTTCCACATCCTGCACGATTCCTGGGTGTGCAGTCATTATAAAGTCTATTTCGTTCTTATTTTCGCCATTAGAGCTCCTCCATGTCCACTTGCGGTTTTCTCGTTTTCGGTAGAAGGTATTCAAAATCCGTAAATTATTGCGTTCTGCGAATTCTCTTAGTAGCTCTCCTCTGGCGTGTCTAGTGCCGATGCCATAACCTCCTTGCTCCACATACACGAAATTTGGTATCACATGACGTGAATAGATGACGAAGGTAAAAGGCACATGCAAGCATGATAATCATGGCACGGAAGTCATGTACGGCATCATTTACCTTCACGTCGTAACGTTGTACTGATTTGAAAGTGACGTATCAACATTTATCATTCGTGCTTCGCATGTGATCAAATCCCAGTGTGCGTGGGATTTGCCATTTTTTTACATCCAACTTGAACTGATGTGGCAGAAAAATTCTGTGTAAAGATAAAGCATTATTTTCAAATTCTGCTCACGCTTGCATGCAATTTAGCTGAACAAGGGTTGGCGTTCACGATCGATTCTACAGTTTGTGTCTTACCGAGGTCTTCATTTTTCTCCCGTTTAGGTTGGCGGGTGATGCGGATTATCCGAGAGTGGTCTTTTGCACTGCAGGCAAAGATCGGTCGGTGTGTCGGCATTAACGGATAGTGCCGGTATATATACGACAATACCCCTCACTTCGTATTTTACCTCCTTTCTTTCAAAATTCTAGAGTCAAAGCGTCATGCCAGGTAAAAAGATCCGAGAAGAAATGTACAGCCACAAGTGTGCGGCCAGACTGCGAAAATTGGCGGAAGCATTTTGCTACCGTGTCCGATAAATCTTTTCTTGTCTGTTTCTTTCTATTTCTAATTTATGGTTGTGTCGAATGAATAAAAATAAAATTTATCAAAATAGAACGAAAATAAAAAGGACACCCCAACCTGCGTTGCACTGAAAGTCGTAATTGGGGTGCTGCTGGCAGATCAAGCGAATAAATAAAACGCCAATGCATTGTAGCCTATATAAAGCGAGGCATTTGTTACAACGCTAAGCCCTCTCACGTTTCCGGTTGAACGCCAGCAGCAAGTGGAATGGTTCTGTTAACCTTGTCCCTTTCCGCCATTCTGCCGTATATTTTCGAGTGTATGCGGGTTTCTCGGGCATGGCCTATTATAAGCCTGATCATTGAAAGAATGAGAACAGAGACAGACAGGAAGAGACATGGAGGGAGAAAATGAAAGGGATACAAAGAAAGAGGCACATTGTGGCAAACAAAGGATTCCTCGTGAGACAGGGTTTGAACTCGAGTACCCTTGACCCGATTGCAATCGCGTGCGACCAACAAGGCGATCCCGGGCCTCTAGTGGAGCATACCATAGTCTTCAGTGCTATAGTGTAGCAAGAGAGAGAGAAAAAGAAGAGATGATATGGTGACAAGGTGAGAAAGGAGAGGGGTGAGAACGAAGCACTGCGTAGAAAGGGGAGAAATAGTGGGAAAGAAATGGAGAGGAAGATAGAGAAAAAAAATAGAACAATCAGGCATCAAACATATATATATATATATATATATATATATATATATATATATATATATATATATATATATATATATATATAGTGGGAGTAATAATTCAATGGGCCAGTTAGTCTTCGTGAAGGTATGGGAAACGGCAGAACGGGAGCGTTGTCAACAAGGATAAATCTATTTATTTCCCAACAGTTTCGTGAGGGGTCCTCCCTTCATCAGGGGATGAGTTATACTCATCCCCTGATATGAAAGGACGACCCCTCCCGAAACTGTTGGGAAATAAATATATTTATCCTTGTTGACAACGCTCCCATTGTGCCACATACACACACACACACACACACACACACACACACACACACACATATATATATATATATATATATATATATATATATATATATATATATATATATATATATATATATATATATATATATATATATATATATATATATATATATATAAATATATATATATATATATATATATGGGATATGGCACAACGGGAGCGTTGTCAACAAGGATAAATATATTTATTTCCCAACAGTTTCGGGAGGGGACCTCCCTTCATCAGGGGATGAGTTATACTGACATGAGCTTCCAAACTTCCTTGCTGCCGCGTCCCTCTCGCCTTGAAAGACGTTTGCGAGAGTGAGAGGGAACTGGAAAAAGGAAAAAAAAACAAAAAAAGGGAGAAAAAAGACGAAAAAGAAAGAAAAGAAAGAAAGTAAAAAAGAGGAAGAACCACTGTCAACACTGAGAACGAAGCCAACTGTCCGTCTACATCCACCTATGGTTCATATCACGTGCTGTTCAGTTCTTGGCGTGTGTCGGGCCACCCAAGATTGTCGCCGCGGTGCCGGGAGGGTCCGGGACGGCGTGCCTAAAGAAAGGGGTTTCCCCGTAATTGGTCGTTCGGCGGGCGGCGGGCGGTGTGTGTAAAGGAAAGGTTTCTCGTTAATGGGTCGGTCGGCTATTTACCTTTAATCTTCGTCCGTTTCCCTTCAACGGTCATGAAGTGGTAGGCGAACGTAAACACTTTGTATGTGCATGTGAAAGAAAAAAAAAGAAGTAAGGACAGTGTACACGTACGAGTCAGTCAGAAAAAAGCATGGTCTCCAGCTATCAATCTTTGTCACCAATTTTCTCCTGGCTTACTTCTCGAAGGCAGTTGAGTTTTCCGGGGTCCTCGTTGATACCGGCTACTAATGTACGAAATTTGAAAATAAAATATGCCTCACGCTGTTCGCGCTCGCGTCTGTTTGAAAAACCGGACTGCAAAAGAGTTACGCTAATATTTTCAAAACTGTGGTTTGGCAGGCGCAGATGTCTAGATAAAGGTAGCTTCGGCAGTGAAGTGGCGTGGTACCGGTGATTATTGAACCGCAGCCGAAATGGCGTGTCTGTTTGGCCGATATATTCTTGTCCGCAGATGTTGCAATGTAGCATGTATATTACGTTACTTGAGTCACAATTAAGGCTTTCAGTTATGCAGAATTTGAAATCCGAGAAGTTCGCTTTGGATTCACGTGTTGTGAGCATCTGTGGGCATACCTTGCATCGAGATTTTCCGCAGGGATGGCACCCTGATTGAATTTTGGGGGTGTTTGTTTTTGCTCTGACAAGAATGTCCTTCAGATTTTTATCCCGGCGGTACACCACGTGAGGTGGCTTCGCGAAAATAGAAGTTAGTCGTTTGCTTTGCCTGATTATGTTGAAATGGCGGGAAAGTATGTTGTTCATTCGTGGCGCTGATGAGGAGTAAGTTAGTACAAGGTTCGTTTGGGAAGTCGTTTTAGGTACTCTGTTTGGTCCCTTAATTATATCATTCCTGTTCACGTTGCGAGCACGTAGTATGGCATCGTCAATAATGTCTTCCGGATAATTTTGTTTCAATAAGGAATGCATTAGGTGTTCCGCGTGTCTGTCAAATTCCCGCATATCGGTGCATATTCTTCGGTACCGGTAGGCCTGAGAATATGGAATACCCGTTTTGCAATGCTTTGGGTGGCTGCTGTTGAAATGTAGGTACATTTGACGGTCTGTAGGCTTTTTGTAAAGGTTTGTTGACAAGCGGTCATTTTCGACCGTGACAGTAACGTCCAAAAAGTTAATGCTAGTTTTGAAAATTTTGTGCGTGAATTTTATTGACGGGTGGCATTTGTTAAAATCCTCTATGAAGCGGAAAAGACTTCCCTCATCATGGTTCCATATCATAAAAATATCGTCTAAGAATCTTCTGTAGTAGAAAGGTTTCAAGGTGCGTCCCTCAATGAATGGGATTTCAAGTGAAGCCATAAAGGTGCTCGCGAAGTTTGGGGCCATTTTCGTGCCCATTGCAGTGCCACTGACCTGAAGGAAATGCTTGCCGTTGAACTCAAAATGGTTATAATTTAGTACAAGTTCAAGAAGTGTAAACAGTACCTCGCCACTTACACTAGTTGATGAGTCAGATTTTACATATTCAGAAACCATAGCCGCTATTCCGTCATGGTGGGGTATGTTGGTGTACAGTGAGCAGACGTCCATGGTCACCAGAAAACTGCCGCCTGGGATGTCGAGACTTGAAGTTTCGCAGATGAAGTGGTTTGTGTCCTTTAGGTAATAGGGAAAATTTGGGGGGATGTTTTTTATTAAGGAATTGATGAATTCTGATATATTTTCTGTTGATGTGCTGTTACTGGATACTATCGGACGTCCCGGATTACCTGCCTTGTGTATTTTGGGGAGCAAATAGAATCGACCGGGAACAGAGTGGGCCGGTAACATTGCTTTTAACATTTTGCCGGTAATTTTCTCGTCCCGGCGGAGATTGTTTAGGGTTACTTTTATCTCCCTTTCAAATTCGGGAGTCGGGTCCGTTGGAAGTTCTTTGTAGAATTTTGTGTCTGATAGCTGTCGTTCCCCTTCCTTTAAGTAGTCCGACGTATTTAGAATTACTATGCAGCCTCCTTTATCGGCCGGTTTGTTAGTAATTCCAGGGTTTTTTCGTAGTTCATCGAGTGCCCTTCGTTCTGACTTTGATATGTTGTTTCGAAATGGCCGATTTTTTCCATACGCTCTGATGATATCTTTTTGAACTGCTGATATATACATATCGAGGTGTTTGTCCCTCTGCTCACCCGGACACCATGATCCGTCACCACCAATCACTCTATTCTCGTTCGTACAGTCCTTGCGATCATGAAAGTATTCACGGAGGCGGAGATTACGCGCAAAGTTATCGAGGTCTTGGTACAGTTCAAATTCATTGAATCTACCGGATGATGGACAAAAGGTCAAGCCTCTCGACAAAAGTTGAAGCTGAGCGGGTGTGAGTGTTGTGTTTGACAGATTGAGGACATTTTCCTCATAAGTTTTCGGCTGCTCTTGGCTATCACGTGGCACGGGAGTGTCAGCGTCATATTCGAGAGTAAGGATGTTTTGATTAGGATTGCACTGTGGTTCTGAGTTCCCATTTTTCTCCTCAAAGTTAGGTTGTGGTACGGGTGGTCCCTGGTGTTCTTGTATGGCCTCATTCCTATTTTCCTGTTGCAGAGCAGTGGAGCTACTGCAGTCCCGCTTGAATTTTCTATCTTTTACTACTGAAATTTCGCCTCTCTTCTTTAGTTCATATCTTTCCAGTTCTCTGGCCTCATGCTCTCCGAGATTAGATACCAATTTCTGCGTGGCCTCCGTGACACTGTGTTCGGCGGCCTTACGCTCACAATGGTCCGCAATGACCCGAGTCAGTTGCAAGGACGCTTCTAGTAATATTTTTTCCCACTTCCCCCTTTCTGCTTCACTTAGTGTAGACATTGAGGGGTTGCAGGCTAGGCGGAGACCCTTAGGTGCAATTTCGTGAGATAGATATTTGTTTAGTTGTTCTGCGTGTTTTTCGTATTGCACCCGCTTTTCAATGATTTTCCTAATCGATAGAAATGAGTGGGACCATGCGTGTTTAAGACTGCCCGTACCTTTTGTTTCCTCGTGTCATTTGGAAGCCGCCTATATATATATATATATATATATATATATATATATATATATATATATATATATATATATATATATATATATATATATATATATATATATATATATATATATATATATCTATATATA